ACCCCGCCCCGCCCCGCGAACGAGGGGCCCCCAGCCTACCCCTACCCTGGACCCTTTCGGCTTCCACGGATGCCCACCCACTCCGCACGTGGCACCGCCCATCCCGCGGGCGCGCTCCGAGGTCCGCCCCTCTAAGGAGCACCGCCCCGAGCTACCCCTGCTCTTCTGCGAGCTCCGCACTCTGGCCCCGCCCCGCGAGGTGCTCCGCCCACTCGGTGCCCTGCCCCACGCGGCTCCTGGGGACGACCCCGCGCACTGTCGCGCCAGGTTGAGGGCTGCCGAAGTCAAGTCAGGCTCCTTCCGTAAGAGTTCACCATTTCCCACTCAACAAAGACCAAGGCCCTGCAGACCCCTGGCCTCGGGACCTCTGGGGCCGCCAAGGAGCTCGCGAACCTCGGCAGACCTCTGAGAGCTCCGCACCTGTTTATTCCTCCGAAAATGAAGTCGTTGCTGTGATCCGACTCTAGCCTGGGGGTCTCGGCCCGCGAGGGCCAGCCTCGGGGTGTGGGACGCGGATCTCGCGCCTAGCCCAGGAAGAGATTTCGGCACTTCCTCTCACCATTTTCAAATTCAGAATAAAGAAACTGCAAACCTGTGAAATAAGTGTAAAGAAACTGCAAAGTTTCTAATTTTAACCACGATGCGTACTTAAGTGCATCTTTCTGAACTACAAATATCAACTTTCTATGAAACATTTCTCGTTTGGGGCTAATCCTATCTTGCCGGTATGATAACTCATCCTGATCAGTCCGCAAGGAGAGGGCGGCATGGCTCCCCCACCCCACCCAGCAGGCGCTCTGGAGCGGGGTCGGGGGTCCGGGTTGTGGAGGCCCTGGGGCGGCCTGCCGGGTTTAGGTTTCTCGCAGCACTAGGTGTGTGTTTGCGAGGCGGAGGGGAGGGGTTCGGATCTCAGCGCTAATACCTCTTTCGGCCACCAGGTGGCGATCTCGCACCGCAGACCCTGGGCGCGGCCTCCAAATTCCAACCCGGGCCAGGGGGTTGGTCACCCGGCACAACAGGTCTGGCGTTCCCCAGGTTCGGATCCAACTTCCCTGCCCTTCTCGCCCTCTTGAATCGACCTCACAGGGGCTAGGGGTCCTTGAAGTCATCCCCAGGTCAGGGGCTGCCATCTGCGTTCATATGGCTTCTCCTACTGTTAGGTCCTTGGTCCCCACCCCGCGCTCCAGGCCACGCTGTGTGGAAAACAGCACGTGCGAGAAGAAAGGGGCAAGTCCGACCTGAAGGAATGGCGTCCTAGCAGAGGAACTGGGGACTCGGTGGGAGAGACATTTGGGGGCAGCTAGCCAGGGGTGTTCTTAGATTCTAGAAAGGCATTTCCATGAAACCAGCCTAGAAATGCTAGGTGCAAATCATAGGAAGTTTTTATTGGATTCTGTACAGAAGAGAAATGCTTAGTCGTCAAAAAACTACAAACGGATCCCTGGCTTTGGGCTCGGTGGTGGTCTGAAGACACTGAGCCCAGGGTCAAGCTGCTTATCAACGCAGCCAGTAGGCCTGGAGGCTGCACAAAGCCTGAGAGGGAACCCCAGCCCCAGGGTCCTCTGCCCTCTTTATTTTTGTAAAAACTGGGTCTCGAGGGACTTCGGGTACCATGTCCCCCTATCATATTGCCGTGGGACATGAAATAAGAGTGAAAACTCAAGGTGAGAAATGGGCCAGCCTGAGGGGGGACAGTGGCTAGTTGATGATCTCATGACATGTCAGTCCTTGAAGGCACAGCAACGCTGGATGGGGCTGGACTGCAGTTCTCTGCCTTGCTTACCTGTGGCCAGTTCATCCCCCAGGTTACCCAACAGCCAGGGACCACAGGGGCCTCCAAAACAGAAATGGAGTCAGGTAGCCCCTCTTCCCTGCTCTCAGCGGCCTCCGCTGGGGCTGGGACCCAGGCTCGGGGGCGGGAAGGGCTTGGCCAGCAGAGGGGCAGAGGCAATGCTGCGGTTCAGTGAGAAGGCGGGCTCTGTGCTGGCCCTGCTCCAGATCTCCATTCGGTAGGAGCCACTGAATGGAGTCAGGGGCTAGGATGAGAAGCTTCTGCACTTTCTCCTGGCCCCCTGACTCAGGGTTCCTGGGCCTCTCAGCCTGCGTCTAGAGGCTTCCCCCAGAGAAGACCCAGCTGTCCCCTCCCCAGGGCCCGTGCCCCCCCCCCAGGCTTGCAAGGGGCCTGCCAGGAGGGAGAGCAAAAAGGAGGCCTGCCCACTGGGTGGGGGACCCTCACCAGAAACCAGGCCTTCGACCTAGAACCTGTGAGGCCGTAAGCCAGGATCCCTTCCCAGCCATACCTGCAAGGTGGGGGAGGAGGCTGGGGATGGGCACCAGAGTAAGGAAGGCCGCCCGCCCTTTGCTGCAGTCTTTCCCACCATGTACCCACGCCCTTCGTGGTGGGCATCACAGAGGTGGCCGACAGGCAATGATGGCAGAGTGGTGAGAGTGAGGACGCCAACGGCGGTCCAGGTGGGTGTGGTGCCGACGGTGATGACACAAGGGTTGTGCTTTAGCTGGGTGTGGAGAGTTCGTGAGAGGCCAGGGCACTGAGTGGGAGGCCTCAGGCCCCGGGCCGCACCAGGCCACACGCGGAAGACCGACCTCCACGAAGGACCTCCGGGGTGGGGGATGGGGGGCCAGACTACCTCTCATGCCCTGGTGACCCAGCGGCCAGGGCACACGGACCAGCGGATGTCTTCAAACAGTCCTGAGAGTTAACGCCATCACCTGCTTGTCACAGATGGGGAAACCGAGGCAGAACCAGTCAGCAAGGAGACCTGCTCTGAGAGCTTGTTTGGGCTCTGAAGACCCCTGTGCTTAGAGACCCTCTGGACCCCACCCTCCGAGTGAGAGTTTTAGTGCAGAGTGGAGTGGAAAACCAGGTGTAGTCCGGTGGCCCTACTACTGCAGAACCAGGCTGTGCTCCGTCTGGTGGTGGCCCTGTCCCGCCCTCCCACCGCCCC